ATAAAAATATTGACAAATTTCGTCATTTCATTTTTAATTCTGCACAACGATGTAGATCCAACTGTTATTTACAAGCCAACACACAAAATTACAGTTTCTTGATAAAATAGAACGACCATATAGTAAATCGTTAATTTGCAAAATATCAATCCATCATACCAAACCGGACTGTTCATGTTGCAATCATCAATCCATTGTCTCACATTTCATTGTTCATGCGTTTTCTTACAAATTGCATTGTGTTGCCGCTCTTCCTTTCTTGATCTTCCCCCATCTTCTGCTGCCAGATATTCCGTTTTTGACTCGTGTCATATACTACTTACATCAATACAAGTAGCACGCACCACAGTACTCCATATAGAATGCATATGTAACAATAGTTTCAGTCTTGAATATCAACAAAATATATTTATAAATGTTTATGAATTCTTTTACACCTTTTATTGGTTATGTGAACTTAGTAATTCAGTGGTAACACTTTAAGATTTAAAATGAAAGGCACTGTGTTTAAGTTCCATTGAGAAGATCAACATTGGAGTTCAGTCACATTTGTTCTAGACTACACTACCAAATATACTATGACTTGTAACATGACACTATAATCCGGTAATCCACTCAGGATTTGGATATGTCAATAAAGACTGATTAATTATTTTCTTGAATGACAATTGAGATAAATTTTTATACTCTTACTAAAACCGTTTAAATATTAGTTTAATTATTTTATTCTGTTGTAGATTATAAAAAATGGAAGACATACTTTTTTTGAGATTAAATGTTAGTTAAAAGTTCATTCATATGTCCTAAATTAGGGTATATGTGCTTTTTCTGAATTGCATTCATATAAGTTATGAAAGTGAAAAGATTAATATTCTACACTGCCTAACAAAATTTGCAATAAAATCCGTTTATTTAGACGGCATATGTATATGGTAATTGTCACTACTTTAAGTAAACTTTTGTTGCCAAGAGTTACTATTTTCTGTTAGTTTAACAACTTGATTAGTTTATTCCCACTAGCATAGTTAAAGTATCACAAAATTTAATATTATGGTTGATCCAGTTATTAAAAATTTTATTTTGACACTGAATACATTTTATTTACCAAAATATCAAAATACTATTTTTAAATTATTGTTGCAGCATTTTAAACATTCCACTGAAAAAGACAATATGATCTTTTAACAACTAGAAACGAAAGCATGAAATAAGGGGAGTACATATTATTTTATCATAAAAACTAAAACACTTGATATTGTTTTACTTGAATCTTCCCATTGATGTTTTTGGACTGAAATTGATCAGTCTCTTATTGGCATATGTGCGTACTGTGCGTATGCCTCGATATTGCCTTAATTTACAAGCATTATAAGCAAAGATGGATAGTGGCTAGCAGAGGAATCCAGGACGCGCGTTTCGTCCTGTTTGGGACTCGTCAGCTGGATGTACCTGCATCTCAGAGTTGATGTTCACTCTGGGACTCGAACCCAGTACCGTTCGCTTAAAACGCCATCGCGTTATCCAGCTGACGAGTCCCAAACAGGACGAAACGCGCGTCCTGGATTCCACTGCTAGCCACTATCCATCTTTGCTTATAATGCTTGTAAATTAAGGCAATATCGAGGCATACGCACAGTATGCACTTATGCCAATAAGAGACTGATCAATTTCAGTCCAAAAACATCAATGGGAAGATTCAAGTAAAACAATATCAAGTGAATTAAACTTCAACCCATTGCACAAGCAAGTGGCTATCAGGACTCAGTAGCTAAGTGGATAACGCGATGGCGTTTGAAGCGAACGGTACTGAGTTCGAGTCCCAGAGTGAACATCAACTCTAAGATGCAGGTACATCCAGCTGACGAGTCCCAAACAGGAAGAAACGCGCGTCCTGGATTCCACTGCTAGCCACTATCCATCTTTGCTTATAAAACTAAAACAGTTTACTATAAAAAATTTGCTATAATACTGAAAAGTTGTTTTCAACCTGTGTTTTACTTCAGTAGTAGTCTGGAAACCACTGAAAGGATAATTGATGTTCATATTTTTTGAATAAATGATCATATGTATTGTTGAGGAAAGAGAAAATTTTATCAGATATTTCTTCAGGATGTTTAAATGGTGGATATACTAATGGGATATTTCTTAACGACTCACCCCGTTATGGAAGGTTACTCTCATCATGATTTAAATCATCTCCAGAGGAAATAGTTTGGGGAAACATTTTTGATTAAGAAAAAAACATTACAAAAAACAAACTAATCACAAATCAGGACGTTTTTATTGTAATAATATGAAAATGAATTTCATGTGAATGAATTATGGTATTTAGAAGTATGGTATGACCTTGACTTGTTCAATACAATAATGTAGATGTATGAATATAAGCTAGTAGATTTTTTTTAAAAGTTTTCAGGAAATGTTTTGGTAAAGATATTCACGATGTAATCGTCTGATATTTTCTTGACGCCCTAATGTTTACAACTGAGTAAATTCCATTTTTGATAAGGAGATTACAAGCAAACCTATGTGTTTTCAGCATAGGACGTTCGAAATATACATTTATATATTCAGCGCAAAAAAATTAGATAATTTGCATTGAAACGGGAGAATAGTCTTCGGTTTTTAGTCCGAGTGTTTTATTTATATAATCTCACATTTGTATCAAAACATCTGTATAATTTTGTTATGTTCAGTTTTCAAATCAAAGGTCAGACTTTTCAAACATGATATCTAGGGTTGAAATTGGGCAGTGTTCAAACCTTATAGATTCTAAAAACAGCAAGAGGATACACACAATCTTGGTTACCTGATTAAGGTCGGTCATTTGATCTAAATAATCAGGGTGATTTTAGCTAAAGTTATTTTCTGAAATTCTACCGTATTTACATAGACACCTTTAACGTTCTTGAACTATCAGTTCTTTTTCTCAAATACCTAATTAGTAAAATGAAATGAGTATTATTATTTCAGGATAATTTTTAAACGTTTAACAAAATAATTGCTATAACACAAAATTACAAAAATTCTGATCAACAAATCTTGTTAAAACTTTCATCTCTTGTTTTTTTTGTTGAAAAGTTAGCTTATTGATCTTTAAGTTCTTTTCACTTTGTGACTATTTTGGTTTCGTGGATTGGTTGAGGTTAGACATTAAAACCGTTGGATGCCGGCCGGCTCGGTGGTCTAGTTGATTAAGCGCCTGGAGCGAGACTGATAGGTCCTGGGTTCAAATCTCACGGGATGCGAGATCGTGGATGCTCACTGTTGAGGAGTCCCATACTAGGACGAAACGACCGTTTAATGCTTCTGGGTTTTCCATGGTGGTCTAGCTTCAATTGACTCATGATTACAATGAAAAAATATTTTGGTTTCCTTTTTTTTAAATACACCTAAAAGTTTATTAGCATAATTACATTTAAGTCTTTTTGTAATGAGGAAATTTAGAGAGCCAAAAAGCCCCCCATTTTAATCATTAAGCTCTGTAACATTCGGTTGATGATATGGAATCGAATTTTCAAATTTGACTTCCGAAATATTTTTGATTACCTATTAAATATGATAAATTTTTTGTGCTTGATTTGACTTAAATGAATTTTATATTTAGATAAAATGTCTTATAATTTATGTTCTTAATTATCTAAAGATGTTAACATGATTTTCTTTTAGGTAAAGTAATAAAAATAGAAAGTATCATTAATTTTGCGACCAAAATGATTAGTTTTAAATGGTTTAAACAATGTTTAGTGGTTAGTCTTTTTAGAGAGATGGTGTTGATAACATCATGTCCAACCATATTCTTTTACCAGAGCTCGGGACCGGCAGCATTTCTAGAAGGGCTTTAGGAGGAGTTAAAAAATGACTAGTACCAACAAATACCTTGGGAGAACAAATTTCCTTAAGAAATAGTATTTACAAACACAAAGGAATGGATTATTGCAGTTGTTTGGGTGAAAAAGCGAAGTTTTTGTCTTACAGAAATTCATTCGAATACCACTCTTAGTAAAGGTATTTGATTTTACAAATAGCTATTTTCACATAGTGATTCATTCATTTACGTAGTTTTTGATAGAATTACATTATATTTTCCATAAAACTATGTCACAGTAGTATGTTTGTCTTAGAGCTTTGTGTACAAACTACTAGTTAATATTGATAACAGAATCAAATCGCTTTGTTTTTGTCCTATTAATTGATGAATAAAATGGACCGAAAACTAGCTCAGTTTAAAAAAAATGTTAAGTGTCATTTTCTTGGTATAATAACAATCTATACTTTGTATTTATTATGAACAATTGATTTATGATAGCCCGAAAACTAAGTAATTAGTTTGAGGTCAACAACTCCTTTTTGTGGAGTATTTCACTTGTTAAATTACATCAACTGAACATTTAAATAAATTTTCTGGCTAATTTCCACTGTTTTTGTTTAGAATTAAATCGATTGCAATAGTTTTTCTCAGATGATTAGTGAAGTTCTTTTCTGTGAGCTTAAACGATAGTTGAAGGCATAATATTCATTATAGAACGTAAGGTTATTTTTCAGTGAACGTTATTTAGAACCTGTCCAGATTTCTAGCCGAACAGCTGTTTAGATCTGTACAGTTTTATTCTTACTTAATTACAAGATTTAATCATTCTGTTATAAAGTCATTCATAGTATTGGTCATTTCTCACTTAATAAATATGTATATATTTATTGTAAGGTATACATAGCAAGTTTTCTGGTGCCATAAAACTGTATTCAGTTACATGCAAATCGATTTGGGCGTACTCGTTTTTGTAAATATACGGTTAGAATAATTGATTTTGTCTTCATGTAATCTGTTTATTATTCAACAGTTTTCGGTATTATGAATGTAAGTCAATTGTAATGGATAAGTAAGTAAAAAAAATGAATTTCGATTAATTTGCTGTAATTGTGCAGCAGTTTGTTGAACTAGTAAAATATTTACAAATTGTTCGGTAACTTTCATTCGATTGTTTTATTTTTTATATTAGGTCACATCTGTATGGTTAACAGTTGCGTTTGCTGCAGATCGCTATCTAATGATATGCCACCCGTTCTGGGCCAAACGATGGTGTACTTTGAAACTTGCCAAAATTATAATTATTTTAATTTATTTATTCAGTGTAATTTATGGAATCCCACGTTATTTTGAATATAAAGTTTTTGAAATGTATCTACCACTAAATCCTACCTTATTAGAGTTCCAATACGGTGATCTCACACCTAGTGGTTTATCTGTACAGAATTTATCAACTTTTACATCTGTAATTTCCGATAACGGTATGATTGGTGATGGTTTTACCAGTGATTCGATGACTAGCATCTCAATAGTTTGGTATCAGTTAACCAGTTTCGGTGAATCAGCTCAATTTCGTAAAGCTTATCATCTATGGTCATGGGTTTTATTAGTTGTTGGGATACCATTCACTCTGATTGCTATCATGAATACATTTCTTATTTTGGAAGTACGTAAATCAAGTCGAAAGTGTGTTGATCAAACCAAACGATCAGAATATCGACGACAGGATACAAACATTATGCTTATCGGAGTAATAATTATATTTTTTATATGCCAGGTAAGAATGATGAAACACTGTCTCATGATCTTTTTATTAAATAATAATACAAATCAAAATATTTATATAGTACATTCTACTTCATTCATTCATAGCATGTTGTTCCAACTCTGATTAAGCGAGGGAAAGTGAGAGAAAAACAATGTTATTAGTAAGTACAATGTTTAAGTTAAATAAAGTTGTGCCATTCGAATAGTAATCTCTCTAACAAACTGATGATGATGTAGAAAAATCAAGAAACAATATATTTTACTTGAAAGTGGCTGAAAATTTAGTTAACTAGTGCTTAAAGCAGCTTTCAAGAGATCGTTTTGTCTATTGAACTCTAGTGTTGATAATAATCTACATAATTATATGTAACTGCTATCATTTTCGAAGGAACAATTAATTATATATCAGAAGGGGTTATGTGGAGATTGTTAGAAATTTCGCTGATTGAAATCATGGGTCAACTGAAGCTAGACCAACATGGAAAACCCAGAAGCATCAAACGGCCGTTTCGTCCTAGTATGGGATTCCTCAGCAGTGCGCATCCACGATCTCGCATCCTGCGGGATTAGAACCCAGGACCTATCAGTCTCGCTCCAGGCGCTTAATCAACTAGACCACCGAGCCGGCCGGCATCCAACGGTTTTAATGTCTAACTTCAACCAATCCACAAAGTTGCACCACCGTACACCATTGTGTTCAGTGAGTTGATATCTCACAACAGACGTGGTTGAACTCCACTGGTAACGGCTTCTCCCTAGAACTCCAGGAGTTTCTCTCGAAGTCAGTCACTATATATTCAATTATATATCCAAATTAATAATTCGAAAAATGGCCAGGTTAAGGGCAAAATACATCGTTTAAAGCATGTGATATTTAGGATTGTGATAAACAAAATAAAATAAAATCGTTGATATGACTCATATAGAATGTTAACTTGAATCTGCGTATATGTTGAGTGAAATTTTAAGATACATGATCAGAATAAATATGGGTGAAATAGAGTGAGAGAGAAAAAATAGTGCAATTATAATTTGATCAAATTAGCAAGACGTAATAAGGAGAGATGAATGCGAAGTGAATGAGTCATGTATAGAGGAGATTAATATTGATGTTTAACCAATAATACGAATAATGATACAAAGATTTATGAATAAAGATAACAGAGACAATTACAATTGACCTCGAAAGGTCCTGGTCAAATTAGGTCATTTAGTAGTTAAGAGAACGACTGATTAATTGGCCTTGATGTTGGCCAGGGGTGGAGGAGTGGTTGCATATATTTCTTCTTTCACGGTTAGCATATACGTAACTTGTTTAGAATCATGATATCGTACCGTAAAAAAGTACATTAACAGATATCGATTTAAAAATATTGGTTTTCGGAAAAAGCATTAAAGATATAGTGATGAAACTTTTGAATATAATAAGTTGATATATACTAAGTTTTATTGTGAATGATTATTTTTGATTATTGAAACTTTGTTTATTCTTTCATTAGCTTCCAGCTGCTGTGAGTCATATAGCCTGGGGCCTTATCACAATAGAATCTAGTAAAAAAATGTCATGGTTTCTTTTAAATGAAATCGGAAATTTATTGATCATTGTCAATTCAGCGATAAATCTCCTACCTTACTACATATTCAGCCGCAGATTTCGTCGACATTTTGTTCGAACATTTTGGCCTTATCGATGTGTTCGAGATAACGGATTACATTGCATCTACATTCCGGAATGGGCTACAAGGTCTTTGAACAATAATGATGATGATGAAGACTCTGAATTAGCTGGAACAGCAACACAATATGGCTATAATCCTAGAACAAATTTAAGAAATTATTCAAACTATCGTTTAAGTATTTATCGTAATAATAGTTCCAGTTCTCGTTCGAGGCCTAGTCTTCCATCAAATATTAGAGCAAGCTGTGAATCACAAAAACTTTTTTCTCACATATTCAGACCTATATTTCATATGAGACGAAAACGAACCAAAGCCTCAAGTATATCCTCTGAATTAAAACCAATACCTGTAGATAAAGGATTATTATCAAAAAAGGTACTACTTAGTGATTGTAAAATAACTGATGATATTAAATCGAACAGTCATAACTTGTTGGGAGACATTACTTGTTCCAATGATACTAACAATAAAAATTTAAAATCTTCTAGTTCATATACACTACCTTATCGTGGATCTAATTCATCTCATTCTTCTGTAAGCTTTCTAGTTCTTACAGATAACAATTTAAATTATAAGCATTTAAGGTTAATACAGAAGAAAAAGTCTATCAGTGATTTTAGATTCGATAAAACTAGACAATGTGATCATAAAATTGATATGGATTACGAGACAAAATCCAGAACTTGTACAACTAATATTAATAGTAATAACACTAATAACACAAATGTAGATAAAAATAAAAATATTCCCATCAAAAGTAGTTATAATAACAATAATAATAATAATAATCTTAAAAAATCCTCTTTAATCTACCTTCAAAGTTTAGAAGAAATGTCAAGTAATCCAGATATAGAAAATTTATAAACTGAATCCAAGTGTTTAGTTCTTTGTTGTTTTTTTCTTTTTCTTTTTTTCAATTTTATATTACTCTTTCTACAACAAAATGATAAATAGAAATTATTTCATGTATAGTAAAAAAAACAAACTGTTAATGAAATTACTTTTATTGTAATTTTTCAATTATTTAGGTATATTAATATGACTTATTGTTACTGTGATTGTTCTATTCAATTTCTTTGTTTCTTCTTTTTTTTATTTATTTATATTTTATTATTAAAAAAATCTGTGATTATCCATTAACTAAACATGAAACCAATAACCGATTAGTTTTCTTATCTTCATTTTCCTTTATTATTATTATTATTATTCTTTTTTCTGATTTAATCATGAGATAAGTTTCAAACGTAATAACTAAATGAAGAAGAGATATATTGACATCAGTATTTTCCTCTTAATGAATGTTTATTAAAATATACAATACAAAATTGACAATTGAACAATTAAAATGATGAATATGAGTGAATAGAATATTTTTCAATAATAATAATGTTATCAACATTATTATTGTTTGTGTAGAAATGAGAAAAAAAAGAAGAGAAGAGAATAGTAATACATATCAGCAAGAATTGTACATTTTTCATTTTTCAATATTCATTTAGTTGTAATCAGATGTGTAAATAAACTAATGATTTTACACTAAAGTTTATCATCTATAAAATTAGGAGTTATTGAATAGTTCATTGTTTTTATATGTTTAATCAAACAATCAGCAAAAAATTCATCAACATATTGTTTTAACCGAGTACAGAAACAATGATGCTACAAAATGCACTGACTAATTGTTTTAAGATAAATATACATTACATATCCAATCATTGGAGACTTTGATAAACAGTGTTGAAGGTTAATTATCTTGGTGTTGCCTTTTTCTCTGATCTCTCTTGGTCTTCTCACGTTTAATTATTATCGAAGAAGGTTCTCCGTCTGACTTACTACATAAAGTGATTGCATGCTCTTGGGATTACTCGTAATTTACCCTTACAATTTGTCAATTCTTTCATATTACCTATTATTATTTACTGTTCTCCATTATTCTTTCCCCGGCTTTTGACAAAAGACTTTGCTGTATTGCGGAGAGTGCTGAAGGCAGTAAGCAAGGTGTGTGGTCAATCTTTCGAGGTCATAATTAATATGGTTGTGGATAGACATCTAAGGTTATGCAAACACATGGCAGGTGTTATTTTATCAGATACTAACCATCCCCTTCACTCTTATCTTTCTCCTTGTATATCTTCTGGTAGAACGAGACGTAATTACATTAAAATCCATGCACGCAAGCAAAAGTATAAAAGTTCTATAATACCTTACCTAACAAATATACTTTGTGACGAACAGGTTGTTAGAGTTAACCTAGTTAATAAGCTGCATTCTTAACATGTCTCTAATTTGAAAACTTGTACAGTTTTTCAGATATTTTTAAAACCTTTTTTGTCTTTGTTTCTGTTTTTTGTGTGTAAGAAACTTGTTGAAATACCGTGTTCTGAGAATTTCTATATTGTACCAAAAATATAATACTGAATAAAGCCATTAATAATAAATAAATACCATACTGTGTCTGTCGAAACGTTGAACTACCTGTCCACAACCGTACACAACACTGTCATTTGGGGATTATAAATAGATAACAAGTAGAAATATTCTACCAGTATGTCTACATTCTCAGTCTTTGTATTTTAGGCGTTAATTGTTAAGTTACGCCATATGCCATTGCTTATTTAAGTGAAAACTGAATAATATATTGGAAATCATTTCAAAATCATACTTACTACTCTTTTCCATCAATTATCAGGAGATACAGAAAAAGTCAACTTGTTATTCTGTTTAAAAAGTACGACAATTATATGAATGAAATCTTTTATCAGTATATCTGATGGTGATACATGTAGGCATAGTAACAGAGATACTAAGACTTCAATGAAACAAATTAGTTTTCTATATACATCAAACTTGAAAGAAAAAACTTGGATTTGATAGTGCATTATGAATGTCATTTAAAGTAACAACGTATTTTATGATACCAAGAAGTTTTAAGGACACAGTTTAAAAGAACCTAAAATCCGTGTAAACGAATAAATGTCGTGATAGAGGGAAATTTTTAATTTATAAAATTTCATTTCATAACCTAAAACACTACAATCGTTTGTAAACTAAAGTACAAATCAAAAGTTCACGTATTTGAAAATAATCTAAGTAATTTAAACAATCTAACTAAATTTCAATGAAATGAAATATTTTAAGAACAGGAAAGGTTTAGTAAAACGGTAAAGTAAAACATGGAGAAAAATAAGCATATTTACTACAATAAATAATAGTCTTAATCAATACATTTTACTAAAATAAAAGTCAACTTAGATATATGTGAATTACTTCAACAAAAATAGTGACCTTAGTAAAACAAACATTTTTTAAAAGTCATTTTGATATGATTAGTTTAATGTTGAGAGATAAACGAATAGAATACGCAACACAGCTTAGTAATAAAACTGTCACAAAAAGTACGAACTTTTTTCAATGAACTATTTTTGTGTGTAAATCGATATATATATAAATTAAATGGCCATTGTATCTGACTTCAGTTAAATCGTTCGCTGATTGTTATCGAAATATACATGTCACCGACCCTAGTATATAATTATCGACTTAAATCGCAGTAGTGAATAGCGGGATTGAATAAGCCAAATACGAGAATGGATTTTTAAATATATATATTTCATAAAATCGTTGATCTGATCAGACAATCAGGCAAACGAAGCGAAGAGGAGAGAGCGAACCAAAATGATATGCAGTGGAGAAGGCGAGTGAGTCAACTCAATTTGATAAAGCGTGACTCAATATTTATATTCAGGCAAAAATAAATTACACATACATAATTAATAGGGTAAGTAATTAACGCACACTCAAATAAAAACAGGGTTAATAAGAGAATAAATGACAAGGTTAAAATATAGCTTGAAAAGAGTGAATGGATTAGTTTGTCCAGAATTAAGATTAGCCTATGTGGGCTTGACATAGTGCCAGCCCCTACATACATAGCATCATGACATACATGTCACATAAATGTACTGACTTGTATAAACATGTAATGATGAGATGATTCAATATCAGTTTAACAGTTAATAATGTGATCCATTATCATAGGGAGATTTTATTAAATTTTTGATATCAATATTGATGTAAAAAGGCTCGGCCGGGATGGATACAGTTTTTGCCAGTCTCAAGAGACAATTAATTACATGACACTTTTTTAAAATCATGTTTAGAGTTGGGTGTGATAGTGAAAAATTTCAAGTTTCTTTTCTCATTGGGATGATAAATTAACAATAGGAAAACAGTGACGATATCTTGACTAGTTTTTGCGTAGATAAATATTTTCTATAAGTAGTATTGCGATGGATGCTACTTATGCTAACAGATATAAGTAGTATGTAGCAGCAGTCGGAGGTGGAATGTACCAGTATAAGATGGAATTGAAGAGAACAGTAAAAGAAGCAGAGAGTAATTGAAATGAAAACAGGATTGGAAGTATAGATATCAAGTGTAAACCCAATCAGTTTGTAAGTTTTCACGAATTCTTGAACTAATTTAATACTCATTTTATGTTGCATAATTTAAGTCAACACTGTGTGCAAGCAATCCTTCAAAAATACACAGTTCCAAATATTGGCAATTTATACGTGACTATTTAACTTTGAATAATGGATTAACAAAGTAAAAAACATCTGACTTTTATGTATCAAACCCATTTATACAGTCATCTCACCTGCTCAACATATGATCTATATGTATGAATTTATAGTTGTTATGTGTATAAACGTTGTGAACTTTAAATTGTGGAACTTATATATTTAAATGAAAATGTAATTATTTCCTCTTATTTTGAGCTACCATGAAAAGTTTGACATTGATAAATCACTGAGAACTAATTCTATAATTGTTGTACTTTTCTCTACTTTTAACTGTTTATGATCCGTTCACCTTAATGTCATTTGATCTATAGAAGCTTACCATTTTTCTTACTTTAATGACCTGAATTCTTTTCTTTTTTAGTGACCTTGATCATTTTTTATACAACAGTTCTCTTGTTTATTATATATGTCCTAGTTATATTTTAAAAATTCAATTGTATATACAAATAAAGTTTTCTATAGAGGATAAATAAACCAGTCAACAATATTTGTATCATCAGTAAACATCTAATCGATTTTTAATAAAAATTGATATAAACATGGTATGAGAGAAAAAGTAGAAGAGAAAAATAAAAACGGTAAACGAACATTTTCATCGTTTTTTAAAATTTACATTGATTGTTTACAAAATAGTAATAATCGTCATTTTATCTAGTCCTAGACACTGACAGAATACCATCTATCAAGTTACAATGTGACCAGCAGTCTAAATGAATCAACATCGCTTGTACTTTATTTAGAAGTTAGACAGTTGGGAGTAGTAACGAGACAATTTTGGGCTTAGGTTTCAGGCAATTTGATAGTGATCAGGAATCGGTACCTGGAACCATTACTTACCGATCATTCAATGTAGATATCATAATGCTCTGGAGGTTAGTTGCGGTCCAAATAGCTCAGTGGTAACCTCTGGTATTTTTAAACTAGATGAAGTGTGTTTGAACCTTTCGATGATTATAAGTAATCTTAAGATTGAACATATGTCTTTCTGACAAGTCTCAGCAAGCACAAAACTTGGGTTCACAGTTTTACTCTATTTCATTCTCAATTTCTTAATTGAATAACTTAGTGAGATGAGTCTTTTACGAATACTAGTAATTAGATACTATGTGGAGAAACTAATTAGTAGGATTCAGGGAGTATTTTTAAAAAATAAGCAGATTTATAGCCATCTGTTTCATATAATAACAATTTACTTATAATATAAAAATCTTTGCCACATTATAAACTATTCGTTTCTCAGATAATAATATTTCTATATTTGTGACAATAATCAACGACTTCGGAAACAATTTATCGTTTACTGATAAATATATATCAGCCCCTGATGAGAACTATATTGAATAGAAAGGGGATCGATAGCTACAGTTAGGGAAGTTGATCAATTTTGCTACTATTAAATGTCCATCAAAAATTTTTTTTCCAGATTCAATAAAGTATCAGATGATGCAGTTAAGCTGTATTTTCTTCTAAATGGATTTGTCAACGTTATAGTAGTGAGTCGAAATTTACATAGTTAAATGTGACACAGTCATCACCGATGATGTCACTTAGGAGTCAAACTAATTCGTGGACAGACTTTATTTAAAGTTATCATGTTAGTAACTAGATCAAAAAGTTTCCGGCTCGATTTTGAATGTTTTCATTAGTACAAAGCTGGGTTAACATTACAATCCACTTTATTATTTTTTAGACTTTCAACATATTTTTTCAAGATGATTTTAATTCGTTACAATAAGTGTTTTCTGTTTATTCATTAATGAATGAAAATAAATAACTAGTGAATAATTGCACATTTATGTTAACGAAGTGCAAATAACGTTTGGAGAACTTGTTTACAATATTTCTTTCTATCCATTTAACAACTTGTATAGTAGTGTTAGTAAATGTAAATGTATAAGTTAGCTATTTTAATTCTGTTTCAACATGAATGAAAAAACAATTTAGGATAGATACATTATGGACAGTAGTGGAATCAAGAACACATGATTTATCTTATTTAGGACTTATCAGCTAAATGTACCTGGATTCCAGTGTGGGACTATGACCCATAATCCACCTTTTCTAAATAACTTGTGACAAAATGAATATATTTAAGCAATTCATATAGAATGGACATATGTTAACAAAGACTAATTATGATTCAGTCCTGAATATTGAACTCTTACTAATGATGACATGAAAAAAATATCTGTTTCATTTTCAATACATATTTCTATAAATTAATGAATCATAATCTTCTACTTCTAGTATAGCTAGAATTTAGTTTTCTAAATGTCAACATCATCATACAATATTACTTATTTAAATATTGAGTATTTTCACTCACGAATAAGGTTATTTATATATTTTATTACGTATATTCTAGAGAATCTGTCTCTTAAATTAGGATAGTGCTTAAAATTTGTATAGTTGGTTAGCGTTTTTGGACAGAGCTATTTAAGATAACTTCAGATACAGTCAGTAAATTGTACTCTTTTAGTGTTATTATATTGACGAAAGCCATAAGAGTTGGTAAACTAAAACGTAAGCTAAGTAGCTATAATGAATGAGTAATTAATAATCGACAAGACTGGAGAAAAAGGATATCTGGATTTTTGTCCATTATAATTATAACCATGATTTAATGAGTATATTTTAAAACTCTCAGTTATATAAAGTATAAATAATATTTTTAGTCATAAAAATATATTCAGTTGTTTCAGAACTTAAACCATGAACTAATAACACACAGAAAATAGCTTTAGTATTGAGTTAGTTCAAATTATGTTAGAATCTTAAAATTCACTTGGTGTTGTTTTACTTGTATCTTCTCATAGTTATTTAGGACTGCAATTGATCAGTCTCTTATTGGC